ATCAGTTGAACCCATCGCAAAAGTTACTTAATCACTTAATATTGAGACATATATTTGTATTAGCAACGTAGAATTTTCCTTATACCTAAATAAAAAAAATATTTGCATCGAGTTTTAATCAGGTATTCCTATCTCACTCAATATAACAACTTAACCATTTATATAAACCCTTAAGCTTCATCCTTATAGACTGAAATATAAGTATTGCAAAAAATAAGGATGCAGACCCTATTCTTAACATTATATTGTCACGTAAAATTTTAACTGTTTAATTAAGAAGTAAATTATTTTTATACTATTAAATGATTTTAAATGACATTGCCATCCTAGCTGTTACTAAGTCTAGTATAGAGCATCTTTTATGGTGTAAGGCATATACCATTCCTCTTGGTATGCCCTTAACTTTCTCCATTAATAAGAAAGTTACTTTTAATATTTGAACTTGTGGACTAGATACATCCAAGATAGCATGGATTTGTTTGAGAAAACTAGATTTCCTATTTCATGACCAATGCCATAAAGCAGAGTTCTCAGCTTTGTAATAAAAGGACTCCTCACAGTATCTGTACTGCTACACTTTAGCAGAAAATTTTCAGTATTTTCAATATCATCCATACACAACGGACATATCGGACTTACTTCATACTTGTTAAATCTACTACGATTTGATTGCAATGTATACACTCCTGTAAGTAATCTAGCTTTAACATTAGCTTTCATAATAGCAATATAATCAAGTCCTGTATTGGCCAAAACATTATGAACAGTTCCACAATTCATTGACATGGGATGCAAAAAACGAAGAGTATACTTTCCTTCTGCCATATTCATTATCTTCTGTCTCCAAAATGTTTCTATTCTTTTTTTCACATAATTTTTCCAGCTTTCTCTATTTGGAATCGAATTTAAAAGGTCAAATATAGATTCTAATTCATACAATGAGAGTATATCATTCACATATATTAACCAGCTATGAGAAGTGTTATCCTTCAACACAAGTTGTCTAATACAAATCTCCTTCTATATATCACTGTTTCGCACAATATTACCAAAGTTCACTAAAATTTGTCTAGGATGTAAAAACGCTTCAATTGGCATCTGACCAGACAGAATATATCTTGCTGTATCAGCGGTTCGTTCTGTCAAGTTTTGCAAGATTTTAAGTCGTGATTTGTGAAAGTCAATTCATCCAATTCCTTTCTGCTAAGTGTTACACAATCTAGTCCAAAAATTAGACATGGGCGGACATATGTATTCCATAATTTAATGACTATATTTGGGTTGACTCCATTGTATCCGTGCATACCTGCACCCATTAGCGCATAGCAAATACATCTAGCTAATTTTATTCTTTTTGTCACTAAACATTTTTTAACTGAATTTCGTTCAATTCCAACATGTGTATATGACGTAACATGTTCCACAGGTTTTTCATGTAAATAAAATTCATCAATACATTTTTCATTCCTTCTACTATTAAAGGTCATAATTTTACTTTTAGTTTCACTGATAAAATATCTATCTTTATTTGCAAAAGTTTCTTGTAAATTTAACATTGTCTGTAACGAAATAGCATCTTCTGCTAATAATACAATATCATCTGCGCATGCTGGTGAGGTTGCATGTATCGTTCCAATACGGAAGCCCAAATGCTTATTTTGATACCGATCTAATAATTGATTAATGTAAAGTTTATACAGTGTAGGAGACAATATACCACCTTGTCTAACTTCCTGTTGCTTATCGATTGAAAAAGTTTTAACATTAACGAGTCATGCCACACAACATCAAAAGCTTTAGAAGCATCTATAGCAGCTATAAATATTTTCTTTTTACGATCTTTTGCGTCTCTAAAGCCTCAGTAATTAATAACACTGCATTTGTTGGAGATACCCGTTTAGTAAAACCACGTTGCAATTTATGTTGATGTCTATCTAAATCTGGTGACATTTTAGACAAAGGTATAGTCTCAAAACCTGTTCCCATTATACTACAAACAGTGATTCACCTATAAGAATTTGGATCCTGTAATGGTTTACCATGACTCTTGTGTATAGGTGTAATAATTCCAGACTGAAAAATTTCAGGTACATCTCTTTCTTGTAAGACACGATCAAAAAGAGCTTTTACAATTATAGGTTCTATTTGTCCACCACATTTCAAATGTTCACTCATTAGATTTAATTCGTCAGGTGACTTTCCATTTTTCATTTTGCCTATAGCTACTGTAACTTCATCTAAAGTTGCATATTGCATTCCCGAATTCTCTGAATTTTGTAGTGTCAAAATATTTTGTATATTATGCTTACAATTTGATGCTGATGTTCACAAAATGATGAACTTGTAGATAAAGTACTTAATTTTTCAAAATACGAGGCCCAGCCGGCCCTTATTTCTTCTGAGGACTTAAGATGTATGCCATATATCATTTGTAATCGGTAAAGACAAATCTGACGAAATTGACGAGATTGTTCATCATTATACAACACCTTATGTATCCGGACACTGTACAATTTTCGTTAGAATGTTTTGTCGAAAACAGAATCGTAAATCCAAGGCAAACAAGGTGAATTACAATGAAATATTTATCCATGTAATGCATAAAGTAAAATTTGGGAGGAGACCGTAAACAATGGGGAAAGAAGCAACGTCGACAATAATGTTGATATCCCATGATATAAAAATTTTGTTCCGATGTGTTGGATAACCTTTCTATCCGCCTTCTAATTAAAAAAAAACAAAAATTTCCTTTCTTTTATGATAGCCTTTATGATCACACAAGTGTTTAATTTGATAGCCATTGTTTAATCTATATAAGAATATGAAATGAAAAAAAGATTTTGTTTGATGGGTAAAATATAACAGAGTCTAACCAGTAAAGAAATTTTCCGGCTATACTGGGAAAAAAGAACAATGCGAATTATTGTTTACATAATAAAAGCTGAGGTCTTATATAATAACTCTGATATCTGTAATCTGTCATAAGCAGACCTGTCCTCAGGTCTGGTCAGTAGCAGTCTTGTCCACATGTCTGGTCAGGAGCAGACCTGTCCACAGGTCTGGTTTGGGGGGGACCTGTCCTCAGGAATGGTCAAAAGCAGACTTGTCCACAGGTCTGGTCTAGAGCAGACCTGTCAATAGGTCTGGTCTACCAACGACGAAGTTAACATCTTCATTCGTATCTTTGAATTTGTCATAAACACTACTGACGCCACAAATAAAATATTTGCACAAAAAGGTTTTAGATGATAAGGCATCTTAAAGTGGAAAGTGGTCGGACACAAATGGGAATGAAAACATCGGACACTTTTTGGTGAAATATACAATTTTTTTACGAAATAGACCCGTTTGTAGGATTGGACACGTTCAGGGGACGAACATGATGAAGGGGACTGACATGTTTAAGAGAAATACATTTGCCATCAGATAATTATACGAATATGATGATGATGGCCAAGTTTGGTTAAATTTGACCCAGTAGTTTCAGAGGCGAAGATTTTTGTAAAAGTTAACGGGCGACGGACGACGGATGACGACGACACAAGACGGACGCCCATTGGGCCAGGTGAATTAAAAAAAAAGGTTCTCTGAAACTGTATTCGATAATAATAGGTGAATCAACATCAAAGATAAAGGTACTATTTGATTTTTTTCTATTTCTAGATAAATAGTTTTTTCAATTATTTAAGTATTAACATTTTAATTTGAAGAAACAAACATCTTATTGGGCACTCTCTATGCTATTCCTCATTTATATTTCCCTGTATATAAATAAATGTAATAAAATATGGAAGTGTGATATGATTGCAAATGTGACAACTATCCCCAAAAGTTCCAATAATGAGCATATCAGTTTATATTCACTCTAATTGCTTTCTATAATGCCTCATGTTGTTATAGCAATCATTATTGTTATTTTGGTAGCCTTTAAATGCAAACGATGTATCTACAAAAGAGGAAAGGCTTTCTAGATGAATTAAAGATTTCATATCCATATTATACTAAATTTCGTATATACACAACTTTGCCAACCTATAACTTTCTATAATAATTTCATAATTCTAAGGAATTACAAGACAGAATATCATAAAAAGTTTCAGAGTAAGCTCTTCCTTATGGATTTGGGAATTACAAATTTTACAATTAAGGCCTCTTAATTGATTTTGATATTTTGGCAATACTAAATACTGAACATAATTTCCTCTCTTTCAACTGTGAAAATGAGATAAATAAAAAAACGTGTTATGTTAAACATTTCATACCGCATTTAAAAGGGGGAAATTTAAATGGAAATACACAAATCACTGTAATCATGGTAAAATGAAGTAAACAGCAAACAAAACCACATTGTTTGTGGAATCACATCTTTGGTATAATAACTATTAATCTAAACAATATGGTTCCAAGTTCAGCGCGTAATTGATGCGTTTGTCATTACTTGAATTAGGTAAAAATCTTTTTGATAAATGCAAATTTGTTTGCTGTTTGAAGTAACGCAATTGTGTCTAATAGTTCGATATGTTTTCACCACATTTTTCTAAACACATATATTGACCTCCAATATCCTTTTTGAATGTATAATGATTTCTAGTGGTTGACATGGTCACTTGATACATGACATTTACTTTAATTCCCAAATAGAAAATTATGTTTTGATCAGCAGGTTCTAAACATTTATAAAGAACGGATAAAAGAATTCAATATCAGATGACCCAATATTATCTAGTCATGTTGTCACACAAAATCATGTCTCTGCAGTCTTTATTATGCAAATCTATTAATTGTTAAATAATATATTGTTATTTTGTACAAATAGTTTAAACCTAAAATCTCAAAACAGTATAGTAACTTTCATATGTGGCTTGGGGTCTTCGACAAGAAATAATCCAAACCATAGAACCGTTTCACTCGCAATGAAACACCAAACATGTACAAAATCTTCAATCACCACATTTTAAAGAAATATAAAGTTTATAAAATCTTTATTTATTGATACAGCTTGTGTGCACAAAAGTAAAATAAGTTTGATTTTTGTACGTTGATATATCACAACAACATTGATATAAGTTATTAACATCATTTGTATATCTAACCTTCGAAATTACATATGTTACAAAAAAGGCTCCGTATTAGGAATTGATCCGAGAATTCTTCTTTGTTTACATTTTCGATACCAATAGACCGACAAACAAACACATACAAGCACGAATCCTGCTAATGTTAACATTATCTGTACAGTTGTATGGTTTGATTCTGACGAATCTTCAAATAAAAATGTATTCAGTTAGATGAGATAATTATTTAAGGAATAGTTAGTTATTTAATTATGATATTTTTGAATATTGCTATTACATACATTTGCATGTTGAAAAACCAGCTTTCGTTAAAATCATAATTCATTGAATTTGTAAACTTGTTGATACATACAATTAAGTCATAATAATTATACACAAGGTAATATAGAATAATTAAAACTGTTTTAGGTAACGTTTTACAAGGAAAATTATTGAAATGTTATGAGATTTAAATGAAAAGCAAAATTAAAAAACCAATTCACACTGTCTTCAAGTATGCGTTTTGAAATATCAGTTGAAAAAATCATATTGATTAGAATATATCCACTATGAATGAACTTTCTTGTTTGTTTGATATAATGAGAATTTTTAGATGTATAGAATGGCTAACCTGTGCAAGTATCAACAAGTTGAGTGATCAGCACTGTGTGATTACCATAAATACAAGTCACATTGACAGTGCCTGTACACATAGCTGTACTGTATTCAAGTTCAATCTTTGTTTCGTAGAATATTGAAATGTTTCTAATACTAATGTTCATGAACTTTGAAAGTTCCTCTCCCTGAAATAAAGGTTGTTATTAGATACGCATACATAAACCATGGTAAGCTTCAATAGATATGTTTCTAAATCAAAGCACTTTGCTAGATACGAGTCTCCAATTTTTATTTTTTTATTTTTTTATTTGGGGAGTGGGGGGGGGGGGGGGGTGCTTAACCTAAAGTTTCAACTAAGTTTTGTTCACAAATAGATAAATCAATTAGATATTCACATTTGACTTTAATTTACGTCTTGAAAAAGTGACTTGAAAAATGACTTGAATAAGCTTAGTTCTGAAGTTTTCATGTTTACATACTACGAAAAGGTTCAGTCATACTATCAAGAGTTTGTAATTTATTAAATAAGGTAAGTTATAATGCACAATTTGCCTTTAAATCATAAATTGAAGGTTGAATATGAAACAATCAACTAAGAAGAAAATAATCATAGGAACATCAAATAAAAAAATAATCGAACTGACATCATGAAATAAAGCAGTAAGGAGTAATGCAGGTTTTTTAAACTTGATGTTGATTTCCAGTTTTATTATATACCTTGTTCGGTTCAGATTACTTTAAAATTTACAAACAAGCAAATACCGAGACTTTGAATGCATCACTGTTATTTCGTGTCAGCACAAAAGCTCTTGATATTTAGTAAGTAAAAACGCATTTTTAGGCAGATATTAAAACATCGGCGCGAGAATCCAAACAGTTTGAAGGCTTACGTTCATCGGACTATTTAGGTTGGTCTAAAGGAGTATTGGATTACAATTGTACAGTTGCCCGATTGATGAATGACCATTTACTGTCATGCAAGAGAGAGGTTTTGCTAGCTTTAAAACCAGGTTTAATCCACCATTTTCTACATACGTAAATGCCTGTACCAATTCAGGAATATGACAGTTGTTATTCATTCGTTTGATGTGTTTGAGCTTTTTGATTTTGCCATTTGATTATATACTTTCCGTATTGAATTTTCCTTTGAGTTCAGTATTTTTGTGATTTTACTTTATACTGATTGATGAAGACCGGATACTCTTTAACCAATTAAATGTTCCAAAAATGGTTCAATAAAAAGTTAAGAAAAATAAAAAATTATAAACTACAATGAAAATTCGAAACGAATGGTCCTTTATACTACGTCTACTTAGTCAGATTATAATATATTGCTATTACCTCGAATTTTCCCGAGCACAACGGTTTTGGATAACCATTATAAATCAGGACAATGCCGTTTAACCTCCTGTTATCTAAGCTGAAGTTCTTCATATGTTTTACTGAGGGTTCAGCTGACAATACAAAGTAATTACGTTCAAAGAACAGACATATTAAAAGGAAGTCACAACTTGATTTAATCCTGATGTTACGGTTGAACATAAACGATAATTACAACAAAAGAAAAAAAAATTACAAGAACAAAAGATTTTATCAGCAATCATTTTTCTGTATATTAAACAACAGGATGATCTCCATTATTTGTCAATAATTATTGTTTTAAAAACCATATAAAAATATATCAGCTAATAAGTAATGTTCTTTCTGACGTAAACACCACTTTTTTCATTAAAAAATCGTAATGAACAGAAAGTAGCGAACTTTATATTTAATTTGTTTTAAAAATGAACATCACATTTAGCAAGTTTTACGAGTACTTGTACCCCGTAACTCCTTTATTCATATCAATTTAAGAAAAGGATATAAAGCTCCTCAAATAATATGATAAGTAGTTACTTACAGATGAAATCTTTTTCATTAAGCAGAAGATCGTCTGAGTAAGAGTGAAATCCAAAATCACATTTATACACTCGATTTACGTCACTTGAGTTAAAATGTTTTATAGTTAAATTGTATACCATTGTCCTCTCATGATATTCAACAGTAACTGCATACTTGTCAATGTATCTTGAGTTTTGATTGTAGGCTAATGTTTTACCGTTTGGTAGCTTAGTCCATAACATTGGTGCAGATTTGTCCTCTGTCTGTATTATGCATTCAAGAACAACGCTTTTCCCAAAATATACAGGCTTTGTCATAAGTTTCCACTGTATTACTTCTGTTGCATGAAAATAATTTCCCCAAATCCAAATTAATGCGTTGCTGTATTCATAAACTTGTATAACTAGATAAACTAATATAAACTATGAACTATATATCGTTTAAACAGCTACTATCTATGCATGCAATACTTGTGTGCACCAATGCATGTATTCTTCCTTCCTTTGGAAATTAGGTAAGTATTGGACAAAAATAAGTTAGAGGCAGCAGTCACTTTAGTGATTTTCCGAAGTTGATAAATCTTTTTAAAATATACAAATGAACGTATAAAACAAACACTGGGGACTGCACACTATTAAACTAATGTTGATCTGTAATAGTCATTTTGATCTGTATAAAAATAAGGAGATTAATTAATCTTCTATTTTCGGCAGAAGCCTTATTTTTTAAAGAACGACTGAAATCAACACAACAGACGTTTTACGGTCAGCATCACAAATTGGTTGACCGATACGATATGATTATGTGTCAACTCACTGGTGACAATATAAAAATAAGAAGATGTGGTATGATTGCCAATGAAACAACTCTCCACAAGAGACCAAATGACACAGAAATTACCAACTATAGGTCATCGTAACGCCTTTAACAATGAGTAAAATTCAAGTTTATATATCACAAATTTCACATGTTTGCGAACGTTTATCTCTTCATATAAGGAGGGAGATTGCTGTAACAGCACAACACTCGACTATAAGAAAATAATCCGTTGGAAATGGCTTGAATTCAACTGATGTTTGAATTATGTTTTCCAAGACTGAAACGTTCATGTACACTGAACTAGATCTACCTACACTTTTTATTATCTTTATCATTTTTTAAAGTTCTATAATAATTCAAAAATAAGGAAACACATCTTACAACATGCTCGCACAAACACAGTCATAAAAAATACAAAGATTGCGAGATCCGAAATACACAATACTAGTTATAACATACAAATGATTGAGTCCAAATGACAAGGATGTAAACAATTATACTTCACCGTTCGCCATTCAACTATGATAAATACCATACCGTAAAGTCAGCTATAAAATGCGTCAAAATAGACTAAATGTAAAACAGTTCAAACAAACAAAAAAAACAACGGCCTGAAGTTTGACATAACAATAATCAAAAACAAAAATGACATAAATCGAATGTGACAGAGTTGAACATGTTTGCGTGTGCTCAACCTTCCCCTAACCTTGAACAGGCTGTATAATAATTGTGATATTTACAAAAGGGTAAGCTTATCGCCAGACGATCTTATAAACGATAACCGAAACGATAAACACTAAAGAATAAGCAAAAGTCATTGATACAGAATTAGATCTTGGGGCTTCACTTTATATTGATTTTACAATGTATTGGCGATAGCGAGACAGTTCTTCTCTTGTTATTAAAGAGTTCTACTCTATATATTCCCGTAATTGAACACACTATCAATATTGACGTTCAAGACGAATAAGACTGAATTAATGACATATGTAAGCTGTCTACTCAACATAATCAGATAGGTTAGGATGTACTTAAATGATTATGAAAATGCAACTATTGTGTGTTTGTCTGCGGAAGTTAAGAAATCTACCTTTATAACATCAAAAACCACTGTTGAATGGAAGATGTTGGATGTATATCGCTTCCAACATGTATGCGTGTATGCAAACACAAAATAAATAGTTTATACATCGATTGTATTTGTATAACTACTTATACTTGATAACTGAACAAATTTAATAAATCATGCTTTCATTTAAGAAAATAGTTTTGTTTAGCCCATTCAAATCATTGTTTGCTCCTGTTTGCATGTTTTGCCAACTTTCACATTTATGCCGTTTTCGTTACGGAGCTTGAACAAATGATGATCATTAGGTAATGGCGGTCTATACATTGTCATATAAAGGTTCAGTTATACTTATTCAGAAAAATGTATGGTTTCTCGGTAATTTTATGTTAAGTAAGGACAATAATTGGCTCCCTCTGGTTTGTAGGTCAAATCTTGTATGATAAGAAAGCTTAAATTACTCTGAATCTGAAAACCATATGTTGTAGTAATTGTTTCTAAAATAAGATCAAAAACATGCAAGTACTTTCTGTTTTGCTCAACGTCAAGTCCAGTGGGGATATTGTTCAGGATTTTAACGATTTATAGAAAAGATTGACAAATATTGTTTTACGTTATTATCGTTTGTTCATGCATCCACCTGTAACGCTTTTTCTTTTGAAATATTATATTTTGGACCAAGTACGTTTATTGTTGCACCTTATCATTTGCCAGTCCAGTTATGGTATGAGTACATTTGTCATTTGCTCCACGAACTGTTCTTTTAAAACAATTTTTTCATCGAAATACCTTTTTGTTTAAAATATACTTACGATCTTCGAAGCTTGCTTTCGCTGCATGCCATAGTACTATAATAACTAGTAGTACATATTTGGTTGAACGACTTTTCCGTCTATGAAATATTCCAAAAAAATGGAAGAAGGCATTACAGACTTATATTGTGAGCGATCATACAGCTAAACTTGCTTAAAACAAAACACCTTTCTGTACAGCTAGTGACTTAAACATTAACATTATATATGACGCTCTATGTTTAATACTTAAGTATTTTGTTTGTTTTCGAAAGCTCACGTTATTGAGACAATAAGACGCGTAGATTTGTTTTTGATGCATGACAATGCCGTGTATCCCGGCGTTAGATATAAACTCAAATTATGACCTTCTTCATACCAAGAACATTATATAAAAACACAATATAATTGTGTATATATCTATAAATTTTAATAACAAAAACGTTTCAGACAAAGTGATTTGGTCTACACACATTTGTACATAACTGTGATTATCCGTGGTAGTGAAATCAAAAATGGACAACATCAAGTCATGATATCGTCCGTAAAATTGTAAAAATAATGACTTCAATTTTATCATTAGGAATCATTGCAAAAGCTTCATACTGAGCAGCAACCATCAACCAAAGTAATCAGGACAGAAAACCCTAGCTCTGTAAAATTGTCTCAGCTTGGGGGTATATACTCCTTTTGCCAGTACAAAAAAAACTGCTAGCTTCTTCTCTTTCTTCCTGACAATTTAAAGTTGGATGCCTTTGATATGTTGTTGTCTTTTGATAAACACGCCTTCAAATCGTTACAAATATTTTATCACTCTAAATCTATCTAAGTTTAGAATGAGGAATGTGTATGGCAATGATAGATAGGTCAATACTATTACTCGAGGAATGAAACTTAAAGATTGTCGAAATAGGTTAGTTTCCCCGCCTCAATAAAGTCATTAGATACCAGGATTAAAACCTCGTACGCCACACGTGTGTTTCAAATGCTTATAACTCATTAATGAAGCTCGAATCGAAAATGTTAAAAAGGCCACATAAAATACGAATTTAAAGAGCATTTCGGCCTCAAAATTCAGACGGTTTTGCCAAATACAGTAAGGGTAATCTGAAGCAACCATAGTGTAGGTATTTTCACAGTCACACGTCCAATATAGTACAGAACATTTCAATCAAGACCTTTCCATTAATACTAAGAAAGCATGCAGAAAAACTGTGATTGCTCTTGTTTCCATCTTTACAACATGCAGGGATTTGAACGAATTGGCAACTATGATAAACCTCTGTCGAACAGTTGATGTAATGTGATTCACAATCAAAACAATTTAGTCTGAATCTTGGTAACAAAATATTCATTATGAAAGTAGGACAGGTTTTTTTCGTAATATGTGGTATGCATAGACTCAATCGGGTTTTACATCCTAAATTGTATCAGACATCTTTAAAAAATTTAACTATTCAAAAACAAAATCTACGTGTCTTATTTTGGATGTTGTTTTAAATTTGTTAAAACAGCATAATCGCAAAACAACGACAAAAAGAGAGACGACATTATATAAAAGGCACAACAAAATACGTAAGATTGAGCAATACAAACCTCGCTAACTGGGTTCGTCCAACGGTGGGTGCATGCATAACAGGAGACGCTTACTATGTCGACAAAAAACAGATCCCAGTAATTTGAGTGCTCCAGGTTTTGTTTTTACCTAGATTTGTTTCTTGTTAATACATTTGTCAGTTTTCAACATCAGTAAACTACCGTTCTCTTAAATAAGAACTTGGAGCGAAAATTTAAAATGAACAAAAGAAGTCATCAATTCCTTCTCAACTGTTGTCAACTGTCTTGTTGAGCATGTACAAATGCAGAAAAATGCAAAACATAAACGATGTTATACCTGAGCGAATGGGGTTGAAGGTGCAACATGTTGTTTGTTTTTTGTTTTTTTTTTTGTAATGTAAAGTGTTTTCTTGTGTTGTGCTGTTGTACCACTGTCCCAGGTTAGGGGGAGGGTTTTGCGCCATCTAAGAAGTCTATCCCCGCCACATTCTGTACGTGTCTGTCCTAATTTAGGAGCCTGTAATTTTGTGGTTGTCGTTTGTTGCTGTATATCATATTTGTTTTTGTCCATAAATCAGGCCATTAGTTTTCTAGTTTGAATCGTTTTACATTTGTCATTGAGGGGATTTTTATAGCTGACTATGCGGCATGGGTTTTACGCATTGTTAAGGGCGGACGCTGATACATGGTTGTTAATTTCTGTGTCTTTTTGGTCTCTTGTGGAGAGTTGTCTCATTGGCAATCATACCATATCTTCATATCTTTATATGTATACTAATGTTTCAACCTTGAAAGGATTTGGCTAATAGTTTAGGTCCTTTTTGTAATCTACTTATTCATTTTTTTCTGTTTTGAATACATCCTTTATTTTTATATAGTTGGTTTTGCGCGTTCCTGATGAAGGTAAATTTAGGATAAAGCTTCGGACGCACATAAATTTAATAGTGTGTTTATTTTGATTTCTTTTCATTGTCAAAATATAAAACATTGCATCATTTCCTGCACCCGTTACACAACACTTAATTGTGAACGAGTAACAGAAGAACAATGAGATAGACCTAGCTTGTTTTTGTGTTATAAATCGTCTCACTATTTTGTTTTATATGTACCACATTTGATAAGTGTTTAGTATTACGATAAATTTGCACTTCTGTTTTCATTGTATGAACAACAAAATTATTTTGTAAAAAATATTTCCGTACTCCTAACAACAAAATTATTATAATTAAAGTTACCTATGCACGTTATTTTATTTAACGCCATTTTGTTCCAGGTTACAGTTGGTTTTTTTTACATTGTTGTACATATTGTATTTATGTTGTGGCATAAATCAAATTTATTCGTTTAATGTATCTTTACTTGTATTTCTAATATTTCTTTTTGATCAATTTAAGTTTATAGCTCTTCATCTTTTTAATATGCTTTGGATTTTCAAATATTTTGGCCTCGAGCATCACTGAAGAGACATTGATTGTCGAAATGCGCATCTGGTGCAGAAAAAAATGGTACCATTTATGTTATTAAGCCATTTCAACTGATATTTCATAGTGTGTCTTTCTCTGTTGTAATGTTATACTACTGTTTCAGGTTAGGGTGAAGGTTGGGGCCTGTTAAAACGTTTAAACTTGCTGCATTTGTTTGCATCTGTCCTTTGTTAGGAACCTGTAGTTTAGTGGTTGTCATTTGTTGATGTGGTTCATAAGTGTTTCTCGTTTCTCGCTTTTTATAAAGATTAAACCGTTGGTTGTCCTGTTTGAATGGTTTTACACTAGTCATGTTTTGGGCCCTTTGTAGCTTGCTGTCCCTTGTGAGCCAAGGCTCCGTGTTGAAGGCCGTACTTTGACCTATAATGGTTTAATTTTTACAAACTGTGACTTGGATGGAGAGTTGTCTCATTGGCACTCATTCTTATATCTATATAGAATTCAACAGTTATATATGCATGTCGTAAAAATGGAGGAGACTTCGCACTTGTTCTTTTTGCACCATTTTAAGTTGTCGTGCTTATTTGATAGAACTCTAGGACAATTTTTAATATATTCAAATATCAGATTAAATAATGTGAAATATCCGAGAATTTAAATATTATTAAGGATGTACTTAGGTGAAATTAGATAAATAAAGAATTTACAAGTGATACTTTCAGTTGGAAGAGCATTAGTTTAGGAACAAAATAAGCTAAAAATATTGATAGGTTATGGAGCTCCCTTTCGAGATATTTGATTTTTTTTTAATGGCGGGAAAAGGCTGACTCGAACTTTTACCTTATATTTCTATTGGTATTATTTAAGTCTCAAATCGAAAGAAAAGAAATCTAGAATCTGCTTAAATTTTTGGTAAATGACTTTTTAAGAGCTATTGAGGTCTTATATGAAAAGAAAAATGGGTGTTTTGGGGCAAAATATTTTACCCTGTATTGAAGGAAAAAAACACAAGGAGTCCGAAAATCGGACACAAATTCCTAAACCTCACCTAAATTTAACCTTAAAGAGGAAAACGAAATGACATATATCATTGTAAATGATAATTTTAGTGGGTAACACGAGACAATAACATTTTATATATTTATCGTTCTATATTAGTCAAAACAATATTGTTCATCTAAGGGAATGTTTGTCGATAGATTCAATACTTACATTATACGATTCTCGGAATGCGTCTCTCTTAATTTGTCATTGAGTTGTATCTTCTTTATTATGGTTTTAACTTGATGTTCAGCTTTTCCACTATATTGAAGCTCACTGTTATTATGAAGATGCAATGATTGAATCATATATCTGTTGTAAGCAAAGCAGTCACAGTTTGTTATTACACGAAACATTTTCAGTCGCGTGATTGAATTCATGATTACCATTTGTCGTTCTATGATATATCTGTAACGTTTATTCGTTGTATGATGTATCGTGTAAACAATTGAAATCTGACGACGGCTACACCTCAATCGTGTCTTTTTTAATTCATTGGTTTCTCTGACATCTTTTATTTGTTGTATCTTTAGATTATTCAAGACAGTAATCAGAAATATACAACACTTTGGTCTCTCTAAATGTGAATATATCGAGGCCAAACGAATTGACAGACGATCTTCTAGTAACTCATGATTGCCTAACACTACACCTACAGTTGAGATTTTCTCAACATTTGTTCTTCCAACAAATACTATTTGCCAATCATATTTTTCTAAATCCATTTCACCTTCGAAATATATACAAACAGTTTCTTTATTCATTATTCATATGTTCATCGTTAATGTTAAAACATGCTCATCTAAGGAATAACCTTTTCTTCCATCCCGTTTTTAAAAATAAATGTTTTGCATATTTCAGCTGATATTTTTATTTGTCTGAGAACAAAGCATATTTTTCTGAAAAATCGAAATATTTTAGATATTCAAACATGAGTATATAAACACTTCATGTTTCGTTGAAGGAAACAATGTAAAGAGGTCTAGCCACAAAACAATATTAATAGATCTAAACTCTTGTTTTATCTGCACAACAGTGAACATTTATGTGATATTACCAACTTGCAAATGTCCTGATGATATCCGAACTAGCGATGTTATTATGTTTACTAAAAGTAGAAATTTTTTCACATAGAAGAACATCTATTCTGGATTTAGAAAAGAGAATTATCAGCAACACACTTTTTAAAACACATAAACATTAGTCATTTAGGCAATCAAACTTGTGTGATTTTATAGATTTTGTTTAAAAACCCGAAAACAGTATTGCATCTAAAAATATATTGACAAAGATCGTGTATACGCACCGCCATAATTGTATAAGAGGACTATATATATATATACACTACAACATAAGAAGATGTGCCAATGAAACAACTATTTACTACAGAAAAAATTACATAGATTTGACCAGTATTGGCTTTAACATTCGATTATGAATTTGTTCTTGTGGTGATCTTGTAAAATGAGAAAAATAATTTGAACAATTTAAACAAATTGCCAACACAGTTTCAAGTAATTTTTAGGAAAGATAAAACCAACCTGTAAAAGTTTTAATGTGTTTAATAGTTTTAATGCCTACTGTAAATTCAGACATTATTGCGTGCATTTATCATTGCGATTTTTGTGGAAAGGACAAAAATGCGAGATTAATTATTGCGACTGCAGGAAAATCCGCATACAGTTATTTACATCAGATATCAGAATGTGAGTTCTTATTATTGCGATACTCACTCAATCGCATTATTCGCATTAATAAAAACCTGGCAATAATTTCTGAGTTAACGGTATCATTAGTATTCCATAGTACACACTCGGCTTTTCAGAGAGTCATTCTTATGATAGAAAATAAAACTAAATAAATAAATGAAAAAAGACTATTCAAAACAACACTGTGTACTATCTGTAAATATTGTGCCTCATTGATTAAGTGTTATTTGGTCAATGGCTAGGCACAAATATTTCTCACCTACAGGACATGTAGAAATGTAAAAAAGTCCGCACATATATATTCTAAAAATTGTACCTTATTGTCTTCTTTTGAATGTTTACTTTTCTAATTTGTAAAATGTTATACGGACCTGAATCAACCAAACACTATCATATCCGCCTGCCTAATAAAGAGTGTGCTGTCACCTATTAAATTTATCGCTAACATACTATTATATGTAGATAGTAAATATTTTAGAGTATTTTTTGGTATTCAATTCTAATATCTCATTTGATATATATACCGCGATAACATAAAAGGTCAACAATAATAAAGTTGTACGTCCATACCAGTTATCCTTTTCAAACGCTTAAAAAACAGTATTATTGATTTTTAAGTATAAACGTAAGGTCGTATACTGACCAAAATTGTAACTATCAATGAAAAACATACAAAAACAATTGAAAGGTAAACAAATAAATTGCTGATTTTCCCTGATTTCTTTTAAATAATGCAATAGAACAACTGAACAGCAGGGCTGGTTTTGTCTTCCTGTAAATGATTTACAACTTCTATTATCATATCATTTGCAAACACGCATAATAAGAGTACTTGACCTAGGACGTTTAATTCTTGGTAGTCCAGGAAGCGAAAATGAAATTAAATAATTCTTTATTTGTGATTATGAAATTTACGTATTCAAGATAACATTTAGAGCTTTTTTGAAGATGAGATTTAATGAATATAAACTAAACCCTTTCTCAATTATTTTTTGTTTGTCTTATACGACAAATTGACTTTTGTCTTAAATAATCTACTCGTTCAATAGTATTTGCAGACAAAATATTCATACTTTTAAGAAAACAATGTTAAAAAATTGCATTACGATAACAACTTAAGTTAATTCAAAACAAATATAAAAAGTAATATATACATACAGATAAAACTTGGCAATATCCCTTCCACTAAATAACAAGACGTTCTACTTGTAATGCAAACCTTGACATCAATATGGATTGCATGTTATGCACAGTGTTTTTATTGGTGTGAAACGTTTACCATATTTGAATATTACATATGAATTGAAACAAACATTTAAAGGGGTTCATCAATATATAGATAGAATAAGAAGTAGTGACGAAGAATTTTCTTTCTTATAATGAATGAAATAATTACAATTGTATGCAGTGAATTATTCAATACATTGGAACAGTGAGTGGACAGAGACAGTAGCACTGTACAATGTATTACAATATATTTGTGTGTGTGTGTGTGTGTGGTGCGACAGAAGGATAGGGCTATTTTTAAAGAGACCGATGCAGATCATAAAATACGAATAGAAAGATATAGGTAGCATTAAATAGAACATTATCTGTTTTCTTTATGGCAGTACCAAAGTACTAACTTCTGGATTGGTGATATCCTCTGGGACTAACAGGCTACTAGCAGAGATAGCGACCCAGTGGAAGTAATAGAATTTATAGTAACAGAAAATCTGAGGATGTGATATCCCCTTAATAAAATCAGTTCAATAGATGCAGGCAAACTTTATATCTTTATATCTTTGTTGTCCATGTTTTACAAACATACTGACGAAAAAACCAATGGCCGGCATAATAAAAAAAAAACAACAACATTACAGATAAAAACGAACTACAACTTTGAATTACCGGCTCCTGGTTTGGGGAAGGCAGCTTTGGTATTACACGTGTAAAACATGTTTGTGAGTGATCAACCCTCCTTTTGCGCAGGGACAGTGGTATAAGAGACAACATAAGAACAAACTGTAAAAATCAGTTTGAAATGACTAAATTGATCATGATAAGATCGGTACGAAGTATGAAATTTACATCAAAACAAAAATATTTAAGCACCTATCTAAGAGTACTCGCAGTTACTAAGAGCTGGTTCAAAACCAATAACCACTAATAAATAAATTCATTTATTTCAAATATAGAGATAAAAGTCTAATTAGCCCCAAATGGTGTCATCTGCCCTAGAGTCGTTGAAAAGGTATTGTCAGGATCTATGAAATACTGTCCTTAAATGGTCCGTTATAAATTAAAAACTATTTAGAAACCGCGGTTTCAACTGCCTTAGACACGTATTTAGCATTTTTCGGTCCTTAATGGTCACATGTTTGGGTGCATAATCATCCTTAGCTTTACCATTCGTGTTGCGCGTAATTAAGTAGAGTAAATAAAAAAAGTGTTTTTGACGAATATAATCTAAAAAGCCCATTTCCATTCTCAATTTTATTATTTTCATTTTTATCTAACGATACTGTTCAATATCACGAAATATTAAAGTGTGGTCAATCGTCAGATGTGAAAGTAATATATGAGAAAAATATGATGTTCACCTGGATGTAGTGTCGTTTATCTAGATACTGATCCATATGTTCTGTGTGTTATATGAATTTCATATTTCGAACAACCAACTCATATCAATTAAAAACCAATTAAGCGGATAAAATGTTATTTTTGTCAAACAAAATATATGTAAAAATCACCAGTACATATTCTTGATGAAGGACAAAAACTTGAAGCCATGTATAAAGGCAATACACAGGTATAATGTAAACACCTTTAAAATCTAGAAATAAAATTGACAATAACATTAGATTTAAAACGATCGGAGGCAAAATAAATCTTTGCCGGGTCGAATGTACTTCAAAATGAATGATCCAAGATTTTTACATTTAACGATTTAATTTGTGTTTATAATAGTAAAACACGCATTATAAAAGTACTAGACCCAGGACGTTAAATTCCTTGTAATGCAGGAAGCGAAAATGAAAGTAAATAATTGATTATTTCAAGTCAAGTATTATGGATTCGGTTTTCGAAAAATGAAATTTACTGAATATGAAATAAACACTTTTGTCAATTATTTGTTTTGTCTAATAAGACGAACAGACTGCTATCTTTACATAATCTACTAATTAAATACTAATCACAACCAAAATATTCATACTTTAAAGGACACATTGTTAAATAAATGCATTTAGCTAAAGTTAATTAAAAAAAGATAAAAGCATATAATAAAAGACATAAATACATACAGATAAACACACTTGGCAATTTCCCTTTCACTTCATAAGAAGACGCTCTATTTGTAATTCAAACCTTGACATTAGTATGGATTACATGTCTGGCAAAGTTTATTTGTGTACTGAATATTGCATATGAATCGAAATATTTTAAGGGGGGATCATCAATTAAAAGATAGTGTAGCGACTGACGATATGATGCTTTTGTCTTATAATGAATGAAATAATCGCGTATCGGACCGAACTAAAATAGGACTGATTTTGTTATTTTATTATTAAATTGAAAAGGAGGTTATGAATTTGTTATTCATAATACATGAGCAAAACTGTTAAGATATTCTAAGATCAAATGTGTTAAAAAAACTAACGATTGTGATGAAATATTTGATTTCATACATTCATTAAACAAAGAAAAAAATAATTGTTTAGAACAAAATTCACGGAAACTAAATAAAAAAAAAATGCGAAACAATATCCATATGTAGAGAGAAATAAAATGATCAATCGCATTGAACAAATTCAACTAAATAAAAGAAAAAGTAAATACTTTATTATAATATATGTTATGGGTGACAAATGTAGTCTCTCAGTCAATGTTACAAAAAAAACCCACAACAAATATCCATTAAGAATCACTTTTAATAAATTTAATTTGCAATTTTTAGAAAACACCAATATTCCATTACACTTTTTATTAGCTCCATGCTATATTGTGTGCAACAAATCCAACTATATAAAGAATAGTTTTTCTTATTGGTATCCACCGCTTAGTCATAACTGTGTAAAAAAGTGCTTTGGAATACCTCCAAACAACAAACTAAATGTACTCAAAAGTACAGGTACAAATAGTAACTCCAAACAGTGGTCACATATACTTGTTCCATATGATTCGAATATTAATCTACTTAAGGTGCACCATAATAATCTAGTAACGTATCATCTTTCAGTAATGCATGTAAGAAGTAAATCTATATTGTCCAAGGTACGGATAGTCGCTTTATCACAATGTTATTGTTGTTGCAAGAATGTAAACAAACAGCAGGAAAGTATTGCTTCGGTCTTGTTAAATGACATCACAAATATTTCCAATGATGATCAATTGTCTGGAAAAAAAATTAAAATATTTTTACTAATTAGTCATAGTAATGTAACGCATAATAGAAAACAATTAAATGAGATAATTTTTTCTATTAAACCACTAAAAAGTATACTATTTAAACAGTATGTACTAACAAGTAACTTTAAACAACATAATATAATAAAAAAAAAAGGTAAAGTCCCATAAGGTCACTAAAATCATACAAAAACAAATCTGGCATATAATACTACTTTCAGACAAGATCAATACAAAAGTAGATAGCACATATATGAGAATCCTTCAAATAGTTGATATTATTGTAAAGGCACTCCAAATACTTTCAGAGATTTTTTTATGGTTTACTATTCAAAGAGTCATCATCTTATTTTCAATGTTTCATGTACATGTCACAGTATTGCGTACATTGTCAATTGTATATAGTGTTTGTATTGTTTATTGTATGATTGTGTATCTGTTAATATATGTATCATTACTTTTGTTTATTAGAGTACATTACTTTATATACATGTACATACTTGTTTATTTTGTGTTACATAAATGTAAGCTCATTACTCCATACATATATCTCCATTTTAATAACCGGCATATACAGATTCTAATCAATAAAATGCATAACAGTTTAATGTTGATAAATAGATATATTCACTGCTTTAAGCTAAATATCCTCTAATTTATGAAAGATATTTTACATATTTGCTCTTTAAATAGCCAAGGACTTGGTCAAAAAGAAAAACGAAGTAGGCTCTACACTTGGCTAAAGTATCAAAAATCTGATATCTTATTCGCACAAGAAACCCATTTTGTCCCAGAAATAGAAAATAAGATAAGACAAGAATTTCATGGAGATGTATACCATAGCTTTTGGACATCTCAATCTAGAGGAGTCGCTATCTTTATTAATAAAACATTAAATCCTAGAATAATAGACACGTATTCTGATCAAGACGGTCGTATAATTTTGGTAAATGTAGAAATAAACAATAACATATTTTCTTTGATAAATTTGTATGCACCAAATGATAAGAAAAAAAGGAATACTTTCTTTAAAAAAGTAAATACAATAATTGAAGAACATAGGCTTGGTATTTTAATAATAGGAGGAGATTTAAACGAAATAATGAATAATGAAGACAGAAAAAATAAAAATATAACAGGCAAAAAGCCCAAAAAATCAAATAGTTTGAAAACATTAATTAAAACAAAAAAGTTATTAGATATATGGAGAATATTACATCCTACTTTAAACCAATATACATGGAAAAGAAAAAACAATGATCTTGAGGCAAGTAGGATAGACTTCTTCTTGATTAGTGAAGAACTTAGAACACTTATTGAGTCTACAGATATCAGACCAGCCATGATATCCAGTACAGATCACCAAGCTATTTCATTAAAAGTAAATTTAGAAACCAAAAATAAAGGTAAAGGTTATTTTAAAATAAATAATAGTATACTAAGCGAACCTAACTTCAAAGAAAAGATAAATAATTTAATAGATTTCTATTTAGAAAAATGTAAACATAATGAAAACCTATCCCAATTATGGGATTTATTTAAAATTGACATAAGAGAAACTACAATCTTATATTGTAAAATTAGGGCAAAAAGGAAAAAAAATGAAATAAATGACTTGGAACGAATATTGCAATCTTTAAAGAAAAAAAAAGAAAATAGAAAAATAAACAAGACAGAAAATGATGAAATTAAACAGTTAGAAACTAAAATAGAAAACTTATATAATTTTAAGGCAAAAGGTGCACAAATACGCTCAAGAATAAAGTGGATAGAAGAAGGAGAAAAGAACACTAATTTTTTTCTTGGTTTAGAAAAATGTAGGCAAGCAAGAAAAAATATTATTAAACTAAAAAATGAACAAGGGGAAATAATAACGAATCAATCGGATATACTTAATTTAGAAAAGAAATATTATGAAAAACTTTACACAAGTACTGAACCAGACAAACAATTAATTAATGATTATATAACCGACACAAAAATTAATGCTTCATTGAGCGAAGAAGAAAGCGAGTCTTTAAATGGGTCTCTTACAGTCGATGAATGTACTAAATCTATTTTTCAAATGAAACTAAATAAGTCCCCAGGTTTAGACGGTCTGTCTGTTGAATTTTATAGAGAATTTTGGGATAAATTAAAGAGTTTTGCAACAGATAGTTTTAATTACTGTTATAAAGTAGGAATGTTGTCAGAATCTCAAAAATAGGCCTTATTTCTTTATTATTTAAAAAGGGGGACCCTACAAATCTAAGTAACTACAGACCAATCACATTACTGAATGTTGATGTCAAAATCATTGCATATACATTAGCCTTAAGACTGAAACCATTATTGCCAAAAATTGTACATAGTGATCAAAATGGATACATAAAAAACCGTTATATAGGTTTCAACATACGACAATTACAAGACATTATTGATCATGCCGAAAAGTTTAAAATAGAAGGGGCCATACTGTTTCTTGATTTTTCAAAAGCATTCGACTCACTCGAATGGGAATTTATGTACCAATCTTTACAAAAATTTGGTATAAAAAACTCAATGTTAAATTGGGTGAAAACATTGTATAAAGATATAAGAGCCTGTATAGCAAACAATGGATGGATTTCAGGCCCATTGGAAATTTATAGGGGAATTCGTCAAGGATGTCCGTTAAGTGCTATTTTGTTTGTTTTAGCTGTTGAAATACTAGCATGTAAAATAAGAGAAGATAATAAACTGAAGGGGATCAAAATAAAATTAGATGGGAAAACACATAGTCTAAAAATAAGTCAATTAGCAGATGACACAACACTATTTTTAAATGCTAAAGACGAAATTACTCATGCTCTCAATGTAATTGAGGTTTTCGGATCTTTATCAGGGCTTATACTAAATCGTAACAAAACTGAAGGTTTATGTTTAGGAAACAAAAAAAATATTCCAGAAAATTTTGAAAATATAAATTGGAGTAAAGATATTATTAAATGTTTAGGTGTTTATTTTGGACATGACAAACCACAATGCATGAAACTTAACTTTGAAAAACAATTGCAAAAATCAAAAAAGACTCTTAATCTATGGAAAAAAAGAAACCTAACTATGATAGGCAAAATCACTGTGGTCAAATCACTAATTATCCCAAACATAACCTATATTGCATCCGTTTCAAATATAGACACTGAATCATTGTCCGAATTTAAGAAATTGGTATATGATTTCATCTGGGATGGAAAGACAGAAAAAGTAAAGAGAAATACGTTAAATTTAGTCAAAAATGAAGGAGGACTAGGAATGATAGATATTAATAAATACATAGAATCAATAAGAATTAAATGGATAAAGCGATTAATAGATGACGAAAGTGCAAACTGGAAAATAATTCCATCATATTATTTAAATCAATATGGATCAAACCTATTAATTTTTCAAATGAATTTAGATAGTATTAAATCAATCCATAATATCGCAAAACATATACCCAAATTCTATTTAGAACTACTCAAAACATGGGTTAAAAGCAGGGGTGGGCAAACTGAACAACCTGATAATTTTAGAATAATCAGACAGCAAATAATATGGGGGAATAAATATATAAAGTCTAACAGACACAGTTTGATTTTCAGACACTGGATAGAAGACAAAATAATTTACATAAATGACATTATTGATGATAAGGGGAATATTTCTCAAGAAAAAATTTTAAGTAAATTAAAATGTAAAAAGAATTGGATTGCTGAATTAATGCAGATAAAACATAGCATACCAAACCAGTGGAAAAAATATTACAGAAACAAGATTCAATTAAAACTATGGTCCAGTGTAGGAGTAAAGTTTTCTTTAAACAAGGGACAAAAACGGATGAATTACTCAATATAAAAAACATTAACATTTATAAAAGTTTATTACATTCTGATAAGGAATTTCCAATTGGTTTTTCTAAATGGATAAAAGAGTTCAATTTAAATAAAACTTACAATATAAAACACACATTAGAATTTATTTTCAACGACTTAGAAGATAATAAACTTAAAATGGTTAGATGGAAGTTATTGCATTATATCCTTCCAGTAGGTACCCATTTGTATTCATGGAAAATAAAGCAAACAAATCTATGTTTTACTTGTCAAGTAACAGACACTTACCTTCATAATTACATAGAGTGCAGTTATTTCAAGGAGTTCTGGAATAAAATAAATAATCTGTTACAAAAGTTTCATATTGATAAACAGATAAAAAGCTTAAAACATTTGGTTATTGGTTATAAAATAGAAGACAGTGCATATAATGATATAAATTATATATTAACAGTAATTCTATTCACTTTACATAAAAGTAATTGTATATCTGAGAATAAAACAAAACCAATAGATGTTTATGAGCTATTCAAAAATGAATACAAGTACAGATACTTCTTAATAAAAAAAAGAAAGAAAACCATAAATCACCTTTTAAAAAATCTACAATTAAATCTGTAAAGCTTTCGATTTCCCTCCATCAAACATAAAATCTTAAATCAAAATACTAGCATTCAAATGTAAAGTTGTATGTATAGTTGGTCAATTTCTCATAGAGATTAATTGCGGCGTAAAGCAATCAACAATCAATCAATCGTAAAGACATAGATCTACATGTACAGTACATGTATCTCACGGAAAAATTCTTTTATATTTAAAATTATAAAGTTTTAACAAATCATACATATTTCCACCAAAGATAATGTTTATTTGTATACGCTTGAAAACGAAGAAAAGAATAAAATACTGTGTGTATCTGTTACAGGTTTTTACGATCTGCATTTACTGTATTATGGTATAACTTAATATTGTGTACAAATATAAATCATATGTTTACTGAAAATAATTTCGATTAGAAATAATCTAGCATACTTACCAGGGCGAAAGTGAACAAACTTAATTAAAGTAAATCCAAAATGTTCGAACGAATAGAAAGTTAACAGAAACCATGTACTTTCCTAACGGTTTCATACACCTGTTCAAAATTTGATTAGGTCAAAAGGTCATGATAAAAAAAATCGATTCAAGAAAAACAAGTCAAACCCGGTGAGTAGAATGATTTTGATCCGTAAACATGTGACACCAACTTAGAAATATATTATGTTTAGGAATGAAATAATGTAGGAAATTGTAAAATTAACATTTATATTTATTTGCTGAACTTTTATTCCCTGGAAGTTCAGTAACTAATCACAGGGGTATCCAGACTAACGCTGTAATCTGGATAAAATGTAAAACAGCAGTTGTGCAATAAAGTTTTGTTTAATTGAAAAAAAAAAAAAAAAAAAAAAAAGATCAAATGTGCAACCAGTGATGGAATCACAATAATGTGGAGTAACATAGTTTTTCCAAGTAAATTTGTTTGAGTCCTTGGTGTTCTCATATCAAAAAAAGTATGTACGATTTGCTAGACATAAACATTGGAAACAGAGAGGCAATCGGTAGGGAGAGAGAAAAAGTAACACTGGACAGTATAGATATAGTGCGTGTGGGAGTGGGGTTGAGAATGGGGCTATGTAAAGAGTGACCAATACACAGCAAAACTTACGGATAAAAAATATAGTTAGAGAGAAAATAATCGAGGAAAACAACGAAAGCGTGTGTTTGGGGTATGTACAGAGAGACAATTACCAAGGGAAAAACAAGGTGAGATAGCGGTGTTAACCAGTAAACTCATAAAAGGTTATCATGCATATAATGTTGTACGTTCGTCGCGCGTTTTGTCTACACAATACTGATCAGTGACGTTAGAATTAAAAAAGATTAAGGGCCAAATAAAGTACAGAGTTAATAATCTTTGAAAACGCAAAATTCCGAATGGTTTTTTTAACTATATGCATCCAATTTATCAGCATTAAAAGCCGGACTAACGAGTTAGTGTGAACTACCTACGGGCAGTATGAAGCAGATATGGATATATTAAAATTTCAAAGATCTGTTAGTGTTAATAAAATCTCAGTCTGTTCCCTCTCGCAATAGCACTAATACATTTGACTTTCCCTGACACAAGTATTGTTTAATGTCAAACATGAAGACAAATTGAAAGAATTGGTATTTCTTTGATTTATAAAAAATAATGACCAACGTAGATACCAATAGTTTTCTTTTATGGAGGGACAAATCATACTTTGTAAAATAAAACAGCTCTTATTCGAACAAACAATACTCACAATCTGACATTAAGACAATATTAATAGATCTACTGCAATGTTAAATTGATGACATTGATAATATAACATAAAACTTGTAACAGTAAAACAGTAAAAATAAAACCAGAAAAATGTTACATCCCATTATTATTAATAGTATATTCAACGGAAAAATGCGTTTGTATTATCATATTTTATTTTACACGCATAACATAACTTACAGTGATAACATTAACGGTACCAATTAATTGCATCAGATGTGCATTTTTGCTTTGCATAACGGTGCTAAGCTATTAGTTTCATACGATATTCACGCCATCTTAAAATTATTACGTTATAAATATCGGTTTTCATTGATTGCCTTATATATGATATGGGATAGATTCTATTGGCTAGAATATGATACAGAATTGGGAGCATATCCCGGACAGGATAAGATATTATTATACGGACAAACTTCAAGTATAGATATTATAAATCCGATCCGATACTCGATCAATGAATATTTTTGCCTTTACTGGATTACCATGCTCTATAATGTCGCGTCAAGTTCATGTTAGTGAAAAAATTAAAATACGTATTACTACCTATGACTTTCAGGAATTTTGTCAGATTACATGTTATATAACCAAATAATAAACAAAAAATACAGATACGCAAAGACCGCATGGTACCACCGAATTGTGCTTTAGACATGAAAGAATGACATGGAATATTAAGGAAGCATCTAACAACAATTTAGTAAAATGGCTATGTAGGAAAACATGCATGAGGATATACATATGCAAATAGATTGTGTCAAAACTGAATAAAGACGGGCTTAAAATACCACGCTTATGACTGTATGCACTAAGGAGATAAGTAACACCTTGCTCATATTTAAACCACCATATCGTACTTAAAAGTATGATACAGCGAAACAGTCCGAAGCTTTTAAGTAAGCTTAAACTTGTGACCATTAAGGTGTGTGTGTAATGTCTTTTCAGTAAAGACCTAGTGTAAAGGCAATCCTGAATCGAAAATCAGAGATACTAAGAGAGAGAGAGAAAAAGTCCTTAATTTATAATGATTTCAAAATTTTGTAACAGCAAATTGAATAGAACAATATCCGTATTTTCATGCCAGTGACAAAGCATTTCTAGCTACATGTACCGGGTTGGTGAATCCCTCTGGGACAAACAGTTCACCAGTAAAGGTATTGACTCCGTATATGTAATAAAATTATAGGTAACTGTTAAAATTTACTATATGATATTCCCTTAGTAATAAAAGTTTAAATGATACAGGCAAACTTTGTATCTTTATATATATATATGACTGAAGGTTGTTCATGTTTTAAAAAAATCGGACGAAAAACAAACGGCCTGATTTATAAAAAAATATTCACGAAACATTGATATAACAGAAAAAAACGAAAACCACTAAGTCATAAGCTCCCTGTTTGGAAGAACTACATATGGAATTTGGTGGGTGAAACATGTTTGTAAATAAACTTATCATAGATACCAGAATTTCAATTTTGTAAGTGCTCAACCCTCAACCTAAACACATACCGTAGTTGTATAACAAGACAACATTAGGACAACCTGTGGAAATAAGTTGGAAAAAGCTCAACTCATCAAATCGGCAAGAAGCATAAAATTAACTAAAAACCAAGTCAAAAGTAGATATCCAAGAGTACTAACAGTTACTAAGAACTAATTCAAGCAAGAAACAACTAATAAGATAAATCATTTTCTTTAAGAGTAGAGTATCAGTCTCATTAGTCGAAGGTTTAATCAGTTGTCAGTACATCGGTATTGTCCTTGTTTATGTAATATGTTCTTTAATTGTCAGTTTATAAATTCATAAATTATAAAGAAACCAAGGTTTTAACTGCATGAGACAAAGCAGATCTTTGACGGATGTAGTGTTTTTATGTCCTTTATGATCACATACCATATATCGGGGTTTTTTCGCGTGTGTTTAATTTTCGCTTTGTTCGCGGCTGTTACAGAAACGCAAAAAATTTGACACTCCGTCATTATCCCTGAGAATATCAAGATTTGTTTTATTAGAAAGCTTCATATATTATCATTATACTGTTCATTATCGATTCTTTTGCGTTGTTCGACAGATCACAAGAATGGACATACTTTATTAAGATCTCTGTTTTCATTACGATTAAATTGGCTAATCATACATGCCACACCTTTTAGCAACACTGCAATCAGTGACATGTTAAAAATTGTTAATTAGTTACGATCGATTGATTGGTGTCAAAACCAGAATATTTTGCATAAAATGTGAAAATAGAAAAAAAATAATTTACAATTACACGGATATTTGTATATCTGTAATGATCAAAACCTTCAATTTTTAGCATGCCCTAATGGCCATGTACATAATTTACGTTACTTGAAAGTTCTGTGAATTATGCGTATTTTCGTTTGTAATACTCATATAATTTATTTGTACTCCATTAGCTGTTGGTTAATCAAGTTTTTTTTAACAATACGATACAGTTTTTTTTTTCGCGTGTATTTTCCCATTCAGCGAAAATTATACACAGTGAAAATTTAGCCTGTCCATTTTGTCATCAAATCGCGAAAATAAGCCGACGCGAAAAAAAACTGATATACAGTATATCTGTCCTTATTTAATTATTCATTCATCCATGTTTTGAAAAGTTTGGATTTACGCCTTATTGATGGAGGTGAAATACAGAAAATCGCTTCGGACGAATAAAATTATAAAGTTTATTTTCATTTTTTATCTAACTTCACTGAGGAATATCATGACATATTAGAGGGTGTACAATCGTCAGATGTAAAAGTAACATATGAATAAAATAAGATTTCCAGCGGCGTGTGGTTTCGTTTATGAAAGTGATGATCCATATATTCTATGTGTTTATTGCTTTTCATCATAGAAGACGGAGAGTACTTTTGTTTTTGAATAATCCATGCAATCGCAATATTTTTTTGTAGTTTGTAATAAAAATAAGAAGATGTGGTATGATTTTCAATGAGACAACTCTCCACAAGAGACCAAAATGACACAGAAAATAACAACTATAGGTAACTGTACGGCCTTCAACAATAAACAAATAGATATAAGAAGATGTGGTATAAGTGCCAATGAGACAACTCTTCATCCAAGTCAAAATTTATAAAAGTAAACCATTATAGGTCACAGTACGGTCTTCAACACGGAGCCTTGGCTCACACCGAACAGTAAGCTATAAAGGGCCCCAAAAATTACTAGTGTAAAACCATTCAAACGGGAAAACCAACGCTCTAATCTATATAAAAAAACGAGAAACGAGAAACACTTATGAACCACATCAACAAACGACAATTACTGAACATCAGATTCCTGACTTAGGACAGGTGCAAACAAATGCAGCGGGTTTAAACGTTTTTTGTCAGCTATAAAAGGCCCCGAAATGAAAAATGTAAAACAATCTAAACGAGAAAACTTACGGCCTAATTTATGTACAAAATAATGAACGAAAAACAAATGTTACACAGCAACAAACGACAACCACTTCTTTTATTCAATTATGTCTTGGGATTCGATGTAAATGTACACAAACTGCCAAAATATCACTTTATATATTTAACCTGACAAACTTCGACTAAACAGTTGTTTGTTAATTTTTGCAGGTTAATGTAATGTCATCCACAGTTATATTCTTTTATAATATGTCTTTATGGTATCTTGCTTATTTATATGACAATTAAACTATCATAATTTTGAACAAGTGAATTTCTAGTCAAAATTATGTCTTTTATCATATTACCTTCTGGTCCTTCTA